GCCAGAAGGTTTTGAAGTAGAAGGGAAAGAAAACTTAGTCTGCAGGTTGAAGAAGAGTCTTTACGACCTCAAACAAGCGCCTAGATAGTGGTACGAGAAGTTTGACTCATTCATGGTGGGTCATGAGGACAAGAGAACTGCTGCAGATCAGTGTGTCTATGTTAGGAAATTTCCCGATGGAAACTTCATTATACTCCTGCTCTATGTTGATGACCTGTTGATTGTTGGGCAGGATGCCACAGCAATCAGATCACTGAAAAAAGAGTTATCACAGTCCTTTGACATGAAGGACCTAGGCCTTGCACAGCAAATGTTGGGCATGCAAATTGTGCGTGACAGGAAAGCCAAGAAATTATGGTGTCACAAGAGAAGTACGTTGAACGGGTGATTGCAAAATCCAACATGAAAGATTCCAAGCCAGTCAATACTCCGCTAGCTAATCATTTCAAGCTGAGTAAGAGTTCTTGTCCCTCCTCTACTAAAGAAAGAGAAGAGATGGAGGCTATTCCCTACTCATCCGCCGTAGGGAGTTTAATGTATGCAATGGTGTCCACCCGACCAGATATTGTTCATGCTGTTGGAGTAGTAAGCAGATTCCTTTCCAATCCAGGAAAAGAGCATTGGGAAGCAGTCAAGTGGATTCTAAGGTACCTCAAGGGTACAGCAAAAATGTGTTTATGCTTTAGAGATACTAAACCAGTCTTGGAAGGCTATACGGATTCCAATATGGGGGGAGATCTTGATGGTAAAAAATCTACATCAGGATTTCTGTTCACTTTTGCAGAGGGAGCTATGTCTTGGCAGTCCAAGTTGCAGAAGTGTGTTGCTTTATCCACAACCGAGGCAGAGTATATTGCCGCAGCAGAAGCTGGAAAAAAGATGTTGTGGTTGCTGCAGTTTCTCCAAGAGTTAGGATTAAAGCAAGAAAAGTTCACGGTACATTGTGATAGCTAGAGTGCCATAGACCTGAGCAAGAATTCGATGTACCATTCTCGCACAAAGCACATTGATATTCGGTATCATTGGATACACGAAGTGATGGAAAAGTAGTTATTGGAACTGATCAAGATGCATACAGATAAGAATCCAACTGACATACTGACAAAGGTGGTCTCGAGAAACAAACTCAAAATCTACAAAGACATTGCCAGGATGGACTTCAAATGAGAAGTCAATTCTCCATATGGGCGTGGAGGGGGAGAATTGTTAGTGCAGCACCATTTCTCCACTGCCCAAATGGAGAACCCACTTGAAGAGAAGTGGGGATGGTAAATGGGGGTGGCACCTCCCCATTAATGTGGGTGGCGGTGGCCACCTCCCCACTAAATGTTTCCTCAATTGTGTATAAATTGAGGTGAGGAGGAGAGGTTGAGCAGAACACACAGAGATATAGAGAGTGTGAGAAGTGTGAGAGTGCTATAAAGAGTGTTTGTGAGGTGTGAGTTGTAATCTCCCTCCGGAAAAATTCTATAGTGGATAACTCTCCGTGGACGTAGGCAATTGCCGAACCACGTAAATATTCTTGTGTTATTGTGTGTGATTGATTTCTGGTGTCTCACAGTTCCAACAGTTTGCACATTTGGAAGAGCTTTGGATGTTTGTAAGGTAATCCACAATCTGCCCAGGTAATCACCTATCCCTTGAAGTTATATAAATGTGGTGAAAAATCTTTAAATCTGTCTTATATGTATCCTGCAAGTGAAACAAAGCTGTATTTTTTCCCCTTCCTATAGGTTTAGAAGCTGGAATTGTTGGGTTCGGCAATCATCAATGCTTAGAACCACCATTAGGTGTCAATGTTGCTTGGAAGGTAGCTCCAATTCTTTGTGGTTGGTTTTTTGATGGCTCTGAGTTGATGTTAGAAATCAGAGATTTAGATCTGACTCAACATAGCCTTCTTAATCACCAGAGGTCTATTTTGAAGCTTTTTTTAAAAAAATAAATAAAATTGTTATACTATCCTCATCCATTCTTTTAACTTCTATTTTTCTACTTTACGTTTTTTTTCTTTCTTATTTTTCAAGGTTATTGATTCTTCTTAGGCCCTAGAGTTCATTAATAGTAATTTGGCAATCTCGTTTGACTCTTTTTCAATTGTATTCGTATTTTAGTTTGAAGTGCATGTAACATAATTCATGTAAATTGTATATTTGTGTGAATCCTTCTCATGGTCTTAAGTTGCAAGTAAGTCAGAGCATTCAAACTATCGTTGACAAGCCCACTTAGTTCAAATCAAACAGACAAAAATCCAGACTTCACAGCTTAAGCAGTGGAGTGGTCTCGCGGTGAAATCACTGTCTCTAGGTTTCAGACTCTACTGTCAGAGTATAGAGAATGTCCACTCACCGCTTGAGCAGTGAAGTGATGGCTCTAGTGGTCTAGGTTGCAAAGTTAGTTTAAAAAGTCTGAATTTTCATCATTTCCAGATCGTTGCTCTCTTTAGCAGTGTGAAACTTCTTCCGAATTTATCCAGTGAGAGTATTACACATTACTTGATGCAGAATTTTGAGATCTATGAGTCCTTGAGCATTGATTAATCATATTCAATATTCCATTTCATCTTTTTTCATCTATGGAGAAGTCCAATGGATTCCAAAAGGCATTTCTAAAGTCCTTTCGTAGATTCTGAAGGCGGGGAGAGCAATGAATGTGGATTCGGCACCTTGAAGATTGATTTAGGGAGAGCAATGATTGTGGATTTGGCAAGAGCCACTTATGTCCAAGTGTGGATTCACCAAGGATTGTAAGAAACTCTAGTAATTGCTCCTTTGAATTAGTGATTTGATTTTCAGGCATTGAGTCTGTAATTTTTCATCTCAACAGGAGGTTCTCAAATTGAAATTTACCACGTTAAAATCACACCACTCTCTTAGTTGTTTTTGAATTAGTTGTTTACATGCTCGATTTGGTTTGATCTAGCTATGGCTTTTGATCATTTGGTTGATGGATTTGTCAATTGGTTGAATTGGCCATCAAGCCTTTGACAAATTGCGTAGTAGATCCATAATTGTTGAATCTATCAAGGGATTTCACTTTTGACTTAGGAACTTTTTAACTTTGTACCATGGATCTTATACTGTGATTTATAAAATAAACGATTCAAATTATGGAAATAAGATTTGTGGTGAATCTCACAAGCCCGCACAACATTGTCCAGTTCACAAGCTTGTCCCTAAACTATTTTAGGTCCAGACAAACGGAGACACCATTGTGAATTTTAATATAAAAATAGTTTTTGAACACATGACGGTTTCAGAGTTGGAGTTGAGCACGTTTGGTACGATAGAATGGGAAACATGTTGAAATAGATTGTTCATTCTAACTTGATATTCCTTTCCAAAGTTTGATACGCTTTATCTAAGTAGGAATAGTCAATTCAATGAAATGACTATTCCAACAAAATATGAGAATGCCTATTCTTTCCTACAACCGAAGAAATAGCCATTCTATTCCATCATGAATCACCATAAAATATTATCATTTATCTACACTCACCATTCCCTTATGCTATCACCCATTCCACCACCCCATCACCACCAGTACTACTGCGGTCGTCACAATTACAGTTACCGCCACCTCAACCACACCACCACCACCATCACCATTGCCACCACCACTACTATCACTTCCACAACCACTATATACCACCACCACCTTACTACCGCTGTCGCCACTGCCACAACCATTACCACCACCTCCACAACCACAAAACCACCACCACCACAATCGTTTGAACCACTATCCTATTACCACCCCTCTTACCACAACTACTGCCTCTACCACCACAACCACTACTTTATCACCACTATTACCACATTCACAAAAACCACAACCACTATCACCACCATTGCGAGAACCACCACTCTACTACCGCTGCCTGCCGCCATAACCACTACTATCACAACTACAACTACCACAACACCACCTTATCACCACCACTAATTCCACAATGACCTACCACCACTACCATTCTACTACCACTGCTGCCACCGCTACCTCTACCACAACTCACACCATCACTTTCACAACTATCAACACTTTCATAATTTATATGAATTTTTAACTTATTTGTTATTAGGTTGTTAAAAAAGAATAATAATAATAATAATAATAATAATAATAATAATAATAATAATAATTTATTTCATTCCATTAGTTTAATAGGCATAATCAAATATGAGAATGAGAATTATGATCCTATTTCTATGTCATTCTATGTTGGGAATCAAATAATGGAATGAAAATAAACATTAAATTCCATGCTACCTTGTATTCCATTCTCTCTTATTCCATTTCCACTTCATTTCATTTCATCATACTATACATAATTTGTCTTTTTAGAGTTATCACCCAAATAAAAAATATATATATATTCTTGTGATAGCCCCTATTCCTAATCAGAAATATAGTGAAATCACCTTTCCTAAGAATAGCCCCCACATTCAAGGCCCCTTTTTTACCATTGGCAAGAACTTGCTTTAATGTTGGTTTTACACTCGTGTTGCACTTTGTACCTCACAGCAGCAGTATCAATAATTTATTTCAGCTTTATCAAATGGAAAATGTATGAAAAATGTATCAAGACGTGTAAAAATTGTACTGAGATATGTATGCCTCAAAGACTGATTGATGAAATGAATACTTCGTTTGTTTGGGCAGAAAAATACTTTATGCATTTTCTAGCGTTTTGTACAATAAAAAACGAAAGTGAACAAAAAATTTTTTCATAGTCAATAAAAACAAACATATTTGGACATAAAATATTTTTCACTATTAAAAGTCAAAATATTTTTTGGACTAAAATCTTACCAATATGTCACCTTACTACCATTGTTAGTGTCACCTCCACCACCATCACTGCTGCAGCCACCCTATCACCATGCCGCCACCTTCACCTCTACCTTCGTCTCACTACCACCATCAAACAAAGAAAAACATTTTTTACGGAAACATTTTCTAGAAAAAATTTTCTATTAAAAAATATTTTTTACCCAAGCAAATGCAGCTTAAAAAGTTCAGTAGTATTGATGCTGAAACAAACTATGGTACAACAAACAGAGCATGCAAACCTTTATTTTACTGGTACAAAGTTTGACAAGAAAAATAAATAGTTGAAATTGAAACAAACGGCACAGAACGTTGCCAAATTCACAAGTCCTCCTTTTAAGTATAGGATTGAGGAGGCTTGAAGATTGGGGGTGTCATGGAGACATTTTTTGGGGCCTAATAAGGGCACCTTTGAAAAGAAGTCCACATTTCCAGTGTCCATAAAGATTGGTAAAATTGAAGGACACTTCTCCTTCGTCACCTTTGGTAGTCCGAAAGTTGCCGACGTTGAGCTCCAGCCATTGCCCTTTGGGCTCCTCATAGAGGCACACGTTGCGTTCATGCACTTGTCCATTTGGGAGTGACAGTTTGAGTGTATTGGGCAATTCCCACCCAGAACAACCTTTAGCCAACCTGACTATAAATACAATCTCATAATCAACGTCTGGGGACAACTCTGATATCTCAAACTTCCCTTGCACATCTAACCAACATACGGTAATTAACTTCACTACTTCCACATTATCATCACTGCAAAATTGCAAAGGGATTATTTATTAATGAATTAATAGTATGTAGAATTTGCACTATCATATTGTTGAACGGAGAGTTTCTAGAAAACTCAAACACACTAAAGATAGTTGATCACTTTGAATATAAAGCACAAGAACCATACAAATTGGGTAAATTCAATAAGGAGATACGATCCCAATGTAGAACTCAAACCCAACCTAAAAACTTGCTATTGAGGGGGGAGTATTCGAGCATGTTGAGAGAAGATTGATTTGAATTGTTGGGTTCATCATTAGTTTGGCACTGAGGTTAGTGAATTTGAGTTTCTAGTAGTTTTCATGGATAGTGGCCATATCCATAAATTTAAGAATTAGATTGAATTTGCATATATGATGGATCCGTATTGGACAAATATCTAAATGGGTGTACTGTAAAATCTAATAGTATCACACACAGACCTCATATCTTTGAAACATTTCCAAGTCCAATAGTCATTTACATTGCCCCAAACAATTGAAAGTGCTCTTGGATACAACATGAAGGAGGAATGACCAGACTTCTTGTCAACCCATTTTTTCTGTCAATAAATGGACCCAAAAACAAAAAAAAAAAACAAAAAAAAAAAGAAAGAAAAAAAAGATGATATTAGTTTAGTAGTGAATCATCATCAGCTCTTGGCTCAAATTTATTATTCAGAGATTACAATGAACTCGATCATGGACTTTATTGGGAAGAATAATAAAATACAAAAATACAAAAAACAAGTATGAATGTTTTTTTTTGTAACAGCAAAAAAAAAACTTTATCGATGGAATCAAGAAAAGTACAAGATACAACATCAATAAAGAAAGTGAGTGCAAAGAACATCAAAGCCAACTCCATGATCTCAACTAGGTTGGCACCACAAAGCTGGCCAAATCATCTGCTAACACACCACAACGTTGGTGAGTGACCAACAAACAAGAAAAGAAAAACAGAGAAGCAAAACAACAGAACAAACACAGCAGAAAGCCAAGACAACACCACTGCCAAAATGAGCCAGGCTACGCATTCAACAACCCCCTTCTACCAAGACAAGTTCTGATGTGACTGAAGTTGAACACAAAATCATTGATAGTGAAATGAAACTCTTTAAAGTTCAGATTCACCCATAAAGCAATCCTTATTTTAATAAACTCACACAACTTGGCCAGAATTGGAGAAGATGCCTTAAACAAACATTCATTCCTGAGTTTCCACAAGGACCATAGCACAGCCAAGGGGGTAGCATTCCATAACAATCTTTCCTTCATTTTTACAGCTCCCCCAGCCCACCACTGAAGAACCTCCCCCACAGATCCTGGCAATGCTCCTTGCACCCCCCACCAGTTCATCATCTCAGCCCATACTTGCCAAGAAAAGGGGCAGAACACAGCAGGACATGGTTCAAAGATCCACAATCAGCCTTACAAAACACACACAGATTTGGAGAGCTACTTTGAAGAACACCAATTCTATGCAAAAAATAGCAGTGTTCACCCTATTCTTCCAAGCCAACCACCCAAAAAACTGGACCTTTGGAGGGATGTTTTTGATCCACACCAGACTACAAGTTCTGATTCTAGGGCCAAGATGATCCTCTACAGCTTTATAGGCAGAGGATACAGTAAACAAACATGAGGATGAAGTTGATGTAGTCCAAAAAACAAGTATGAATGTAGTATTAAAGAATCATTCTCAAACTGACTTTGTTTCCTTCCAACACTTATTTTCCTTTGATTTAGTTTGTTACTGTGAGTGAAGGCAAAAAGTTTCTCAAGTTTTGAATCATTTCCACATTACATTAGAACATTAAAGAACTGGAAAACAGGAAACAAAAAAATAAATAAATAAAAAGAAAGAAAACAAAAGAAAGGGAAGGAGGAATTGATTTGTTGGCCTGACCTTTCTTTTATTTTCAAGGAAGACTCCATTGATGAGATCTGCCTTCTTCATCATTAATGAATAAGGCTTCAAAGCTGCTCAGAATTTCCTCTCCTTTGCCTGTTGAACTTGAGTTTAGACCATTCATTTTTATAGCATTTTCCCTATGAAGACCGATCATATCATATTAGTCCTCTTTGGTAAAGTTTATTGTAATTTGAAAGTTGAAATTAAAAATACTCCTCTCTAGATAAAGAATTTTTTTTAAACTTACTTAAGTTATTTCTATTTAATAAGAAATTATACTAAATAATTTTTTTAAATTTATTTTTTTTTATTTTTTACACTATATAATCTAATACAACCAAATTAAAATACGTTGTAAAAATGTCAATGTCATTTAAATCATAATAAATACCTCATTATATCATATCATATAATACATATTTGAAATTATACCTTCTTTTTTAACGAGAAGATTCTAAAAATTGGTCATGTTTCTCTCGAAGAATTTGCTTTACGCAACACAACTTTAATATATACTTTAAGGTAATTTACAGTGACTTTCTTTGAAATTTCTGATAACCAGAGTAATATTCATGCTATGTACGGTTTTCAAATAAAGAATTAATAATTAATTTTAAAATTAAAATTAAACAATAAAAAAAATTAAAAATTAAATTTTAACTATTTTTATCACAATTTTGCTTATGATTTTTTCTTCTTCTTCTTACCATTAATGCTTGTTTTATGTTCTAAATAACAATAATATGAAGGGGTATTTTTTTTAAGGTCCCTGATATTATGATTTTATAGTAGAAAGGACATCAAATATTTTCATGATGTCTAAGGTCCCTCAATATCAATCTAGAGAAATTTCAGTCCCAGAGAAAATTGATCCAGAGAAATTCTGGGAAGAATTTCTCTGGACCAACCCAGAGAAAATTTAGTTCAAAAACCAAAGAATTTCTCTGGTTTTAACCCAGAGAAAATTCAGTTAAAAACCAGAGAAATTTGAAAAATCCAGAGAAAATTGGTCAAAATGAACCCAAAGAAATTTGAATTTTCCGTGTTTGAGTGAAGAAGCTATAAAGATTTGAAATTTGAAATAAAAAAGTGAAACAGTTGTACTGGAATTTTTCGCTCTGTCTTGAAACACCTCTTCAACTTGTGGAAACAACTTGTGATCAACTCAGAGAAAATTCCTTCTAACCCAAAGAAATAATATTGCGGATCATACAGGTCCAGATATCAACTAAACACTGTAACTTTAACTTTGGATGTCCAATAACTACACACATCTGGTGAAATTCCACAACTCTTCATTTCTCCCATAACCTTCAAAGCTTCATCCTCTTCGCCTCTTTTGCAAAATCCATCAATAACCGCATTATAATAGTAACTTTTGGCAGGCTGATTTTTTTTTTGCCTCAATTTTCAAATGAGGTTCAAAGCAAATTCAACACATCCAACTCTACAAAGCCCATGAATGTACGTGTTGTATGTTACAATAGTTGGGTTTTCCTAACTCTCCTCCATTTCTTCTAGAATTCCAGTAGCTTCCTTTGCAGTAAAAGCTCATCATAATGGTATAGGTGCGTACATTAGGCAATGGTCCAGACTTCTTTATTTCTTCAAATAAACTTGCAAGATATTCCACTCTATTTGCTTCTGCCAAACATTTAAGCAAGAAATTGCATGAAAAAATACTAGGGTTTAACCCAATTTTCTTAGCCTGCAGAAACACATCAACTGCATTTTCAAGCATTAAAATTTGCTGGCATTTGTTCTTGGAACAACAATTTGATTAGCTACACAAATCTCAACACTTGGGTTAGAATCAAACACTGTGCCATCTAGTTTGCCCATATTTCTCTGGTTTGCAAATTTCTCTGGATTGCACAAATTTCTCTGGTTTGCAAACTAAGCAAAAAAAAAACTTACTGGGTTAGCACCATTTGAATAGAATCCACATTCCGATTCAACTCTCAAGCAAGTCATGCAATTCCAAGACGCCGCATCTAAAGCAGTTAGATAGCTCGCTCAGGTAAAGTTTCCAAAAGCGATGGATTCAACTTTGCTGATCGTCAGAGCATTGGCAGAAGTTTGGTAAAAGACACCGGACAATACCATAAGGCAAGAAATAATACCGAACATTGATATAATATTTCAACACCACCATTTTCAACTCCAGGAACTCTCTCTCTCTCTCTCTAAAAGGATGGAGGACAGTTCGTCAAGACAGGGCACCGTGACATATGCTTCGTGGATCAGACGGCCGGAAACGCCCATCTCGTGGAGGTGGGAAAGGCCAAGCATCGTGATCAACCCTCGCTCATCGAGATCTTCTCCTTTGATTCCAAGACCTCCTTTTCTCTCTTCCAACTCCTCGGTCTCTACTCTAGCCCCCACTGAGACTCTTGTTTCTTCTTCAACAAGCTTCACACGTGATTGAAGAAGGGGAAGGGGGCTGAATTTCTCTGTGATAGATGGAAGGGACTTTAGACATCAAAAAATAATTTTGTGGATCTCTTCCATTATGAAAAGTTGGAGAGGGACCCTAGACCAATTTTCCCTAATATGAATCATAATGTAATTACTAAAATTAAACTAAAATTATGACAAATTATAAAATTGCACTTTTTAATTTTTATTTTTAGGAATAAAAACTACACTTATGATAAAATATAAATACATTATTATTTTCTAAGAGTTTCATAGTTTTAGTTTGCCATATATTAGATGATATCATAAACTATGTAAAACTCAATAGTTATTATTATTATTTACTAATTACATTTTTTATTTTTCCATATAATAGTAATAATATATATATATATATATATATTTTGTGAAACTCAATCTAGCAAAATTTGTTTAATTCAAAAAATTGACTAACAAAATAAAAATGAAAAACAATGAATTACCAGTGATCCTTATCATCTTATCTTTCCTAAAATGTATTTACCTACAAAGTATAATTTTTAGATTTTCTCACACTCTAGTTTTGGCATCTCACATTGGGCTCTTTGTTTATTCTTCTCTCTCCCTCACCTTTGCTTAATGGATCTTCATAGTACCGGTGTAATTTTTTAAAATTATTTTATAAACTATAATGTGATTTTTATTGATAGATCTCATTTAGAAATATTCTAACCCAAGAAGTCCATGAAGGAAATTTTTAACCCAGTTAGTCCCATGTATTTATACTTTTATTTCATAAAGTTATTTTTCTTGATTTACACTATTTTCTTAAACTCTTATGTCTTTATATTTAATATTGATATTTAATATTGGAGGGAAGAGAGAGAAGGGAAAGGACCAAGGCATAGGAAATTTCATACACAAATTAAATAACATTGATGTTATTATTTTGTATTATTATATAATGTGAATATATATTTAATTGACAACACATTAAAAATAATGTGAACATTCTTTCTCATCTGATGTGAATATATTTTTAATTGACAATATATTCAAAATAATGTAAACATTCTCTCTCATCTGATGTGAACCTTAACATCACCTTTATCACAACGTCATCTGATGTAAACATTCACATTCACGTCATCTAATGTGAACATTCACATCATCACGTACAGTCATGTTTATATTTAAATGAAAGTTGAGGGTTGTGATTGTGTAATTTGATACAATGCTGATGTGAACCATAATATCGCCTTTATCATAACGTCATCTGATGTGAATATTCACTTTATCACGTACAACCAACATTTGGATGCATGGGAACACCAAAACATAATAACAATCAATAAAGAACCATGTTTAATTTTAATATATATCAATATTAAATAGTGGTAATGTATTTTTTTAGAGTGAAGATACGGGGAATATGAATGATCATGGAAACTACCAAAACATAATGACAATCAATATTAAATATCAACATTAATGGGGTAGGAGAGATTGAAGGTGTTTTGGTCTTCTTACCTCAAATAGGACCCAATAGAATAGTTAAAAAGAATATGGGTTGGATGGAATAAAACTCTTAGAAAGGGGATTTATCAAAAAAGCTTACAACTATGACACCCATGCTATGCACAGGTTTAAACAAATAATTAAAAATTAATTTTGAAATTAAATAATAGCATAAAATTTATTTATAAGAAATAAATAAACTACGGTAGAATATATTTTTTAAAAAAATGCAATGAAATTAGAAAAACTATATTTATAATGAAATATAAATGTATTTTGTTTTAGAAGTTTTGTAATTTAGTTTATTTTATGTCAAAGATAGCCCAATCATATAATAAATTATATTTTTCAATTTATTAATTACCCATTGTTTATTTTGTAAAAGTTTAAAAGTATGTCTACTTAGGTATAAAATTATAATTTCTCCTATGTCATAATTCATGAATACAAAATAATAAGAGTTGACTTGAGAATTTATAGTTGTGCTAGACACTAAAAGTGACATAATCTAATTGAATCAACATTTATCTCAACTTGGCCCTGACCTAATCATTAGAAAATTGTCTTAGTTTATGCCTAAGTATAAATCACTTAACTCGTGTATTTATTTGTACATTTTGACCGGCCATAAGACTTGGGCACTTTCTTCTAAGCACCCACTGTTGAAAATTTTAATGTGCTATTTTATGAATTTCTAAGCAAAAAAATAAGATTTAAACTTTAATCCCAACTTTAAACCCGTTTTGGCCAAATTAGTTTAGACCTATTCAAAAATATTTTTTTTGCATTTTTTCTTGTCCAAAAAATTTAGCAGTTTGAAACAATAGGCCTTTCAAAATAATAAATGGGTTTTGACTATTCACAATTGGCCTTTCAAACAAAATAAATGGGTTTTGACTATTCACAATTGACCTTTATAACAAATGAATGTGTTTTGACTATTCACAATTGGCCAATCAAGAAATGAATAGGTTTTGGCCTTTCAAAATTGACCCTTCAAAACATGAAATGGTCTTGGTTTTTGGCCTATATATAAAAGACCATTAGGGCTATGAGAGGTCGTGAAAATTTTTTAGAGAGAGGTCTAAACTTGGATCAAAGAAAGAGTTTATTTTGTTACCACCCAAAACTTCACTAAAGCTAAAACTTGAACTTCTTACTGAGATTTTAACAACATACTCCACAATTTGAGAGTAATCAAAAGAAAGTTTGTAAATCAAAAAATTCATCATTTCCCTGAAAGGTAAA